ATTGGACATTATTATAATATATTAAATAAAAGTGATACAATAGTTTAGTTGCAAAAGTAACATTACGAGAAATATAACTTTTGAAAAATATTTTCTATGGATATTCCTACAGTTGGAAAAATTTCTTGTAGAAAACTTTGTATCGTAAATAATGGTATAACTAAGCAATACATCAAATAAATTTTATGAATTAAAAATTAGTGACTAAAATAAAAATTATCCTGCACATCTGTAACCTCCATGTTCGAAAGGTTTCATTCGAAAACGGCAAATTCAAGTACGCAACTGTTAAGTTCAGTAGCGTCACTGATTTTCATACGTTTTAATCAGTATGACATATAAAAAGTACCTTTGTTCATAATCTCCTTTAATTCTTATACATTTATCCTGCCAATACCATGCACATAAATATCAAAAACTGTAAGCATGGAAAATTATTTTTACGAAAAATCTTAGTAACTTAGCAAGAACTTCTCAACAAAAGTGTAAAGACATTTAACAGATCCCTTTTAACGCGCAAACAAAACCCAATAGACCAAAAATTTCTAGAGCTTTGAAACCCATGGTTCCTTTATTCTGCATTACTGTACCACGAAAGAAACGAATCAAAAGGAAGAGAGGCTCTTCTGGATCTCTGGCCTCGGCTGAGGAGGACAGTATTGTTCGGGGCCCTTCATCGCCTCTGTCCTTCTTCTTCTCGCTCCTTTGCATTTACTTTCTACGTTTCTGCTGCCGTTGATTTTCTTTGAGTGCGAGAAAGATGGACATACGTACGTGGACCCCCTGTGATTGAATGTATATACGTGATCTATATCCTAGTCGTGGTCATTACAGCTTTTATAGCCACTTTCGCAAAAGAAAATTTACAACGTAAAAGAAAAGGTATAGAAAGAGATTCTAATGCATGGAAAAAAGACAGAGGGCGAAGGTAGAAGCACGAAGTGTTCAGGATAAGGAGATGGTAAAAAAAAGAAAAGAAAAAAGGAGTAGTATTACGGCCAAAAAGAGAAGAAATTAGTGAGTGTGTACGAAGGAGATGCAGAGCAGGAGAAAGAAGAGAGCTCAGGAGAGAGAGAGGGTCCAGAGTGCAAGTAAAAAGGAGAAAGAGCAGGGATTGCGAGGGAGAGGAAGGAGGGAAAAAAAATTCGGTTTTATTCTGGGCAAAGCGAACGCCAGGCCCATTCTCTCGTTTTCTCCAGCTCTCGCTATCTGTACATGCGCTATATACACCAGAGCTTGAGAGAGAGAGGGAGGAAGATAAACAGAGAGCACGAAAAGTAAGAGAGATGAGAAGGAGATAGGACCTCCTTTCTTACACACACAAGCGCGAGAAACGTCGAGTGGAGAGAAGGAGAGCCCAATATGTGCGGAGAACTAAGAGCATACGTGTACGAGTAGAAAATATATATCATTACGCTTAAAAAGATCACAACACGCTTGCGGAATACAGTGGGCATCCACTGCCCGGTAACCGGAATGATTAATTTAATTTTAAATGGGTAATGCTCGTAGTAAGGGATGGACGTATAAAAAAAAAAGACAAAAAACACAACCAGAAAACCGTCTCCTTACTCACCTTTAGTAGCCACCAAATGCCGCACGAGCGAGCGAGCGATCGGTAAAAAGAAGTCCTGAATTCCTTCCCGACAAATTTCCTATCTAAACTTGGCTTTGGGCCCACTGTATCAGTTGCTTGTTGCAACGTCCACTTGCTGTACTTGGCTGCACTCGCAGCTCGCGATCGACATCATTATTATCACTGTGACCATCTTAAACATCACCACTAATTTAGCACAACATGCACATTCAAGAATTGTGAAATATAACAATGTGCAGCATTTTACAGCCACGGTAACGATCCACTTTTCCTTATTTCTTCACTTTTTGCACAATATTCCACAGGCACTCACTTTTTTTTAAGGAAAAGATAACATAAAGTTTGAGAAATAGCTAAAAAAAGCATACTCAGTGAATACTACGGATAATCTGCTGGTCAGCAAAAAGCCGGCGAAAAACGCGCGCGCATACGTTAAGTAGTCTACAGGCTTCTCGGATTTTCGAGCGTTTCTGTGCTGAGCTCAAAACAGCGCTACAAGACGCACGGCAACGCTCTCTAACCGATCTCTGTTGCTGCTATTGCTTTGACCTGCCTGCCGGCAGTGGCCAATAGTGGCTCAGGTACACCAGAGAAGAAAATAAAGAAAGGAAGAAAGAACAGCAGCGGGGGAGGATGAGGTGAAAGGGGAGCGGGAGAGAAGGGGACTGATAGAACCCTGCTCGGTTCCAAGAGAGAGAGAGAGAGAGAGAGAGTCAGGGGCCCGAGGGCCACCTGCCGCGCAACCTGCTGACGACTCAGGGGAAACTTGCGCTTGGGGTCTGTGTTTTGCCGAACAGTTGGAATCGCTGGGATGGGACTGTGGTTGCATGCGCAGGCACGTACCGACAACAACGGGCAGGATGGTAAAACAGTTTCTACACGACAAGGGTCTTATATGGATGTTTTTGTATCTACCAGGTGTTTGCCGAGGGGGTTGATTTTCATGCGCTCTTCCGGTTAAGCAATTAGTCAGGTGTTGTGCTATGAATCACGTGTAACGGAATAATTTGAGGGAAACGCATCGAAGCAAAACTGTAAAACCGTCGTCATAACATTGTAATCTCTGGTATTCCAAGTAACAAAAAAATTAACACTCTAATTCGTTGAAAGAGAGATCGGTTCACGTATAATTGTACGTTAGACTTAATCAGGATTAGCGATATAGCGATTTTGATATTTGAAATACATCAAGTATTAATAATATAGCTTGCGTATACTCTTATGCAAGTTATTTGTTTTTGTACACGTATTATTATTAAAAAAAAATTTTTTAAGCATAAGAAAACAATTTTGAATAAAATAGTATTTTATCGTTCTTTTTAAAACTTGATAAGCGTCTTCACTGATTTTCTATTCAAGTTTTCAAAGTAATTTCAAAGTAAACCACTTCAGTTTGGGCTTATGGTTAAAATTGTTTGAAAATATAATACTGAAAAAAAATTTAAAGCATGAGTTTAGCATAAAATTTTTTTATTAACAATATTCTGAAAAAATCCTATATTCAGACCACTTACCACTCCGAATGCCGTAGCATCTACCGAAAAAGTTTCTAATCATTTATTTAAAAGGCAAGCTTAATCACTAGTGCAGATTTCTACTGTATGCACTGATGTGTAAGGAAGAAATCTGTGTCTTACGTATCCATCTCTGCTGCAACAAAAGGATCACGCTCTGCTCTTGAGGTATGGATTTTTTAAATAATGTGAGGCAAAGTATAGTGATGCGTGAAGATGAATAATATAGCAACAAAAAAATAGAAAGCCCAACAATAATAGTTAGCCATTTATTGTATTGTGTTGCATTTTGTTTTACAAAATCATTTAGTAGGTTCTTGTGATCATTAATAGTTTGTGATTTTTACTTTTTTTTGACGTTTTACGTAGAAAATAAAATTTTCAACTATATAACTTTTATACCTTAGTTGTTAATATTCTGCCAACGTTTCAGTAAGATTTCATGAATGTCATTTATTTTGAGAAAAGTTTTTTGTCTACGAAACTTTTGTATATTCTATAGTTAGTAGAACAAATATGTAACATCTGCTGATAATAAAATTTTCTCTTACCACTTTGTTCAAATACTAACCAGAAATTGTTCAAATATTAACGTAGCTATTTTAGACTATAAATTTTTTAATTAGATGCATTTAAATTGTTTTGAATTATATTATTATATTTAAGTCAATTGAACAAATAGATACCAGAGTACACTGTTAAAAATGACCTTAAACTTCATGTTGATTGAATGTAAATTACATTAAATATTTCATATTTTTATACAATAGAAATATTTAATGCATAAATAATAAAATTTAATTTAAAAGGAAAGTAAATTTTATTGAATTTAATAGTTTTTTTAAATGTATGCATTAGTGCATAAAAAAATTTAATTCCATAGTAATAACTTTTATAATTAAAATAATGTGAAAACACTGGAAATAGGACTGATTAAGTTTGAGTAAAGAAAAAAAACTTTCACTGCGTAAAAATTAAATGAAAATTGCACGAAGTATTTTGTGATTTTGTACATTAAAAATATTAAATGGATGAATGATAAAATATTTGTAAAAAGAGTTTAAACCTTATTAAATTAAATAGTTTTTAAAAACCTTTTGTGCATTAGTACGTAAAAAAAAAAAATTAATTCAATAAGGAATAGAATATCATAAAAACATTGGAAAATTAACTTATCAATACACTAAAAATAATGTACATATTATCAAATTTTGATAAAAAATGCATAAAATGTAAGGTTTAGCAAAGTGCTGTATTCTTTTACAAAGGAACTTATTTATATAGCATGTTTTAATACTTGTATCAGTGAATACAAATTAACAGTGGGCATTCAATCCTCATCCAAATAATATACTGTACCTATGTAGTGATGAGTTCCACAACGTACTCTATATACTTCATGATATTTTGTGTAAGAAATTATTGCTATTTCCAACTTTCATCATACAAAGCCAAGATAAGCCAATAACAACCACTTCTTGACAGGCTTGATAACAGTGTACATGAAGTTTAACTAACTTCAGCTCTACCAAAAAATCTCCAAGTTGTTAATCAAAATTCAAATCCTCAAAATGCAATCATGTCACTTATCAATATCCTCTTGGCACCACATATCTATATAAAGCAAACTGTATTAAGCCATGTAAAAAAAAGCCACCTCAAAGCAAGGTAACGACGTATTGATTTACTCTCATGTAACACCAGCAAGAGCAACAAAGCTCAACAATCGTCAAGGCTGCCACTGGGGATAGCCCTAGGTAGTTATTGTATCAAGTCTCGTTAACGGAGGAGACACGTTCATTCACTTGTTCACTGGCGTGCGCTCGCCTGTTCGCTCTCTCGCACCCAACGATGATATTCATTATAATGATGATGGCGATGATGATGATGCTGCTAGCACGTACAACGCACATTTTAGAAGAGTTAGAAAGAGATAATGCTGAGGCACCAACTGAACTAGTGGGACAGCTCCGAGTGACCCGCAGTCGACGGATTGATCTAGTTTTAGTATATTTACAGTTTTCATGTATATGCATATATATATCCCGCTCCCTTGAAAAAAAAACCAATGATAATACCGTAAATGTACTTAGTTTTTCTAATTTTTTAAGTGATCGTGAATGTAATTTGGGTGGTGAGTGAAGTTGGTTTTTTTGAAAATTATTGTGTGGTTGGCGGCGATGCCGCGCTGCCCTGTAGTCCATGGCCATGCCTCCTTCAGCCAACGAGCATCCGATCGGTGCGACCGTCAATTACACCACCATGGCAGCTCTTGTGCGCCTTAAACGGGGAAGCGTACAGTTAAGACATGCTGCACGTGAAGTAAGAGGTATTCAGACCGTTGTTGTTACTGTTGTTACTGTTGGCTGAAGAATTAAAATAATGAGCAAACGTGTAGAATAATTAGCGAGAAATGATGTTATAAGGTGCTGGCTGTATTATTTGTTATTAAAAAAGTCGACTCTACTTGAAATTGAAATAGTTTGAGAGTCCTTTTTTATAATTTTTTACGATTCATTGCTCCGAGAGGGAAAATTCTTTATTGCTATTGAAGAATAACAAAGTATAATTAATAGGGTATGGGTTTATTGATAAAAATACGTCATTTCTCACGATTTGATTCCAGAAATAAGCAGACATAAAAATCTGGACAGAAAGGCATTGAAGTAAGCGTTTAGCTGAGTCTCATAATTAACTGAAAGCAGTTTACTTCTATTTTTTTTTCATTTCTGAAAAAAATTGTAAAATAAAGTAAAAACGCTTTCACGAATTACTATGTTTTAAAGGTTCTCATCACTTTGGCCTCATATCACAGAGTTCCGAAATTTTAGCTAACGTGATCAATATTTAAACATCACTTTGATTGCTAAGAATTGAAAATCCCATTGTACTTAATCATTTTTTATAAAAGTAATATTTTATTTACATTTATTTTGAATTGCTGATAACTAATAGTATTGCGTAATTTTTTTATTATTGATGTGTAATAAAATATTTTATTAACGTGTTTTATTAATTTTTGCTATTGCGTGATAAATTAGTAACTTTCCATAAAAAATAAAGCACAGATTACTTGGTGCGCAACGTAGATCAACAAATAAAAGTAAACAAAAAAAAAGCAAAACAATAAGTAAGACGGTGACATTGGTACCGTACAGATTAAAGAGTCCATGCGGTGAATGATAAGAGGTGATATGCTTGAAACCAGCCAGAAGTAATGCGAGAGACACACAGCTAGACAAGTTAACGATATCTGATAGGTATAATTTACTGTCAGAATCATGTCGAAGAATATATAAGATCCTTTTTTTTGGTAAATTTATTTTTTGTTTTATGGTAAAATGTGTGAAAAACAGAAATATAAAGAGCAGAAACTTAAAGATATTGCAGGTAATTTTTAAGAGCGGAAAAAGTAGTTTCCATCATACTGATTGTGATCACGTGAAAATTCACTAAGAGTGTATTGTGTTGTTTTTTGATAGTTATTGAAAATGTTATCGAATTTTTTAAATTTCTGTAGGATAAAGACAATAAATGGGGCTCATAAGAACATAGAGGTATGGTGCAAGTAACTTTCATTTTCACTGAAACATTTAATAGGCAATTTTCATAAAAAATTTGACTTTTAAGGATTGTTCTTTAAAAAATGAGCAAATCCGAAGTAATGACTTTCTCAACTCATTTTCTTATCATATCTGTATTTCTATGACGTAGAGACAAACAGCTTTTACTCGATATCGAAAAGATTCATTTTACATGTATATGTCATCCACACTTGATCGTGTCATCACATAGACACTTTATTAAGTTGTATCAGTGCCTCGAGCTCTTGTGATTTCTTTACCTCAGTCATGAATTTTAAGAATCTTGAAAAACGTATGAAACAGAGAAAACGATGCAAGAGTATATAGCGCGCGTTTGATAAAATAGATCTCCAAAGATAAGGAAACGAGACAGCTGAAGTGAGAGTGTGAAGACGCGGCGGGAAAAGACACGATGCGCTCAGTTGGGCGAGATAACAAGACGTTTGATTTCCGGAGTTTTTTGCTCGCGGGATGACCAAATTTGTAAAACGAGGTAGCGTCCAGCTTAAACATGCTGCCAAAGAAGTGCGAGGTTGGTGCAGTTTTAGTGGGAAACAGTGTATTTTTATTTTTTTTACGTGGTTAAAATGTCTGTGATAGCTCTCACTACGCGTGTCTGTCAGCCATGCAATGATGGAATATGATTTAAAATTTATCTCTGAATAGTGTGTTTTACTGTGTTAACTCTGCTGATTTTTATCAGTTCAACCAGTTTTTGGTAGTGGCAAATTGTGTGTATTGTGTAACAGAACACCCATACCTATTTTCTTACCTTTAATTAGATCCTGATTAGATGTCATCTCAAGTTACACAATCTTATGACTTTTTCATTTAGTATAAATGAAGTGGATTATTGCAATTTATCAAACCTATTTTTTTTAGTCATCAATTTTGTAATAAATTATTTCAAATGACACGTCTTCGTATCATCAAATAAATTGTATTTGTCGAAATGATAAGGCAAAAGGTTTTATGATAAAAAAAAGTTCTGATTAAGTTGTAAAAAACTGTAATAGGCACCAAATTTCGTAAAAGACCTTTGAAGTTATGTTAACGAATTTAATTAAAATAAACATCCCTGCATTTTCATCCAATTAAAAAATTAATATAATACAACTAATAATCGACTGACAGATATAAAAGGTTACTAACAATATCGCTATAGCTGTTTTACTCTACTTATTTAAAATGTAGAATCACCGTATTCCCTTTAGATCTGAACAGTAAATTCCGCCCATTTCTTCATTTCAATAGCTGCAGTTCGAGCTCGGCACATAGTCGCGGCCCTCGTAGCCATCGGCTTCGCACTATGCGGTGCCGTCGAGACGAGCTCCTCGGTCGCTCTACTAGCCAACCTGCCGGATAATTACGCGACTGATACCTCCTGGCACTGTGACATGCTCGTTAATGTATCGAGCCGTAACCGTACGGAGGACCCAGAAGTCATTCTTATGGAACTACCCCCGGAGGAGCGTGCCGAATCGATAATGCGTGAGGCCTTTCTCTGGGGACAGGTCGCGGGACCGATATTGGGAGGCTGTCTTGTTTGGGGCAAGTCAGGGCCCTCGGCAGTTTTCTCCAGAGCTGTGCTGTGCGCGTGTTTGGCTCTACTACTGGTGCCGGCTGCCTGGAGGGGACCTTCTCACGTGGCGCTTAGGCTGTTTCAGGGACTTTGCACGGTGAAATCATAGCCAATGTGTTTGAATGAAAAAGTCATACCATTTTTCTGAGGGTTACAATACTTAATAATGTAGTATATCTTAATCGATAGGGTGCGACTATGCCCGCCGCCCACATGCTTGCTATGACGTGGTTCAAGAGTGCCCATCGAAGTTGGTACTTTGGCTGTTACGCAGGTAAGCTAAAAATTTATCCAATAATAAATTTTAACATGAGATAATGTGTAATAGGATGGCTTAATATTTTTTGAGTTTCAAACTTGCAGCACGTGAACTCCAGGAATAAACATGTTTTGACAAACGATATGCATTATATTTTTGAAATTTTTACATATTGAAAATTTTTTTTTTTAATTTCCATCTAATTTATTTGCCAATCATATAAAAAGCTATAAGAAACATGAATTTGTGAAAATTGGAAAAAATTTGTTTTAATATTAAGTGTAAAGAAAATAAAAATCTGATCATTTTTAGATATATTTCAGTATTTACAAACCTCAAAATTGATCGTAGCGATTATTGAGATGATAGATAAATTTTAAACTAAAAACATCAAACAATTATTAATCATTTAAGTAAACACATGTTCAATAGTGATGGAGAAAAAGTTTACTGGTGGTACATATCACATTGTAGAATAAATATTGGCCTTTTAGCTGTAAGCGTAGGCTATTGTTTAACCGGCTGGCTTGGGACTGCGGCGGTTCGAGCTTTTGGGAGGGACTCACTCTGCTACGGTCTCACTATTATCACATTGAGCTGGTATTTCACGTTTGGCCGCTTCGTCAAAGATACTCCCAAGTCTTATCAGCACGATACTAATGTAAGGCACGTCGTAATTTTATTTTATTTACGACTCCTTGCTCGTTTCAGCAACGCACAATGATAGTTTTCATCCAATTTGATGTGCGTACTTAGAGTAATTTTGTTTATATTTTTTTAAATAATAATCTTCGACATTAGATAACATACGTAGCACATCGAAACAATTATAAATAAATAGACTTATAAGTTTTCTAACTAATTTCAATCAGCTTAGAAAAATACTGAATATTTAAAACTAAAAATGTACACAGAGATCAAAAAGTGACTCCTCATCATATTTTATGTATTGTAACTAAAAAAACTTTTTTGTTACTGGATTCAGGCAGCTGTAATACCATGGGGAAAGTTGCTAAGATCTGTTCCGGTTTGGGCATCAGCCGTTGCAACGATGGGCAATCAATGGGGTGATGCTACTCTTGCTCTCGGAATGACGAAGTACCTCAAACTCATTTATGGGTTTTCCACAGCTAATGTAATAGTTATATATTTTATGATTTATTTTTTATTTATTTATTCATTCATTCATTTATTTATTTATTTTTTTTTGCAAATAAATACTTCATGCATCATAGAAAATTACTCACTGATACTTTAAATAGTACGGAGTACTATTATTCCACTACGGGGAACAATTAAGGGTTTTATATACTCATAACAGGTTATCGTTCAACGGCTTAGTGTAAAGATATGTATTTGCAAACGCACACATACATACATAATTGTATTATAATGTTTCACTTTTTTCTATACAGGATTCCGTGTTGACGACGCTACCGCACATCGGGCACTTCATGGCGGCACTTGCTTGTGCTTTGCTTGTTGATCACGTGCGTGAATCTAAAATAGTATCTACGACCACAGCGAGGAAGCTTGTTGTCTACACCGGTAATGTTGAATTTCAACATATTGATCGAATTTATCATAACTAATTTTATGCCCTGCATCATAAATATGTACAACACTAACATTATTACACTAGCTGCTAATTATATCATCTGAACTGCTATCAAAATGTATCATTAAAATATAGAAAAAAAAGCAATTGCATCTAAAAAATTAATTCATCTTCCTCTTTCTTAGCGCATTTCATACCGGCTGCTTTACTATTCGTCGCAGGCTACGCAGGCTGTCAAGCGATGGCCGCGGCTTGGCTGGGCATTGCAGCTCTTGTGGTGAGCGGTACGGCCCCGGCTGGTGCTTTAGCTGCTATAGCTGACCTCGCGCCTATCGAGTCACCCGCATGTGCTGCAGCAGCTTGTGCTCTGTGCTCGACCCTTGGAGCGGCTGGTCTCTTGGCTGCCAATTACTTTGTGACCCAGGCACTGCGTGGATCTGTGAGTATCGGCAATATGCGCATTGGATTGGAATTCGCGTTAAAATGGCACCGGAAGATTAAACAAGGAGAATGGAACATAGTGGTTAGTGACAACGTTGCTGATCAACGACTTGTTCATTATGCTCTCACACTTTGATTGTTGTAGGTTTTGGTGGGAACCAATTTAGGATTTTTTTGAGCTTGGTGGCGGTGCTTTACTGGTGGTGGTGCAATTACAGATTTTTATTTTTGTTTTTTAACTAACTTATAATTATAATTATGTCAACATTAGCCATAACAGTGTGTGATCCATTCTTCATTTCAATTTTCCAAAGGATACGTCATTAGTCTTATCACATCATCAACAGTCTTAATCTTACAATAAACTCCTTATCAACGATCCATCATTGTGCTCTAACATGAACATTCAATAATCTTACTAACATCTTTTTATAAAAATTTACTACATGCTGACAATAATTTAACTAATAGCAAAAAATGGTATCTTCTCCAGATCGCAGGGTCGTGGCGTTTGGTGTTTGGCGTAGCCTCAATTGTCTTGCTTATAACAGCAGCCGTATTTCTGGCTTTTGGGAAGGGTTCACCCCAGCCCTGGATTCCATCGGTAGCACGACCATGCAGTCATGACATTATTTACGAACAAGATGTGCTTGAGCTAGACTATGAGGATGTTGGTGTACAAACCGAGCCTTTCCCTTACGAGTCTGAAGAAACTGAGGAACAGAACGTCAAGGAAGAGCAGAAGGAGCCACCTTTGATGCAGTCAACTATCTCTATCATTAATGAATAATGGTACCAGTGATACAAAAGTTACTATTTACCAATATTTTTTGAATTAATGATAATTTATTTCTAATCTGATTGATTTTAACGTGTATCAGTTGTTGATCATTAGAAATTAAAATGTCGGTTTGTATAGTTTTATATAGATGGATTTTTTTTTTTTTTTTTTTGTAACAAGAAAGAGATTTGAACTCATGTAAAATCATTAAAAAATGATTTCGAAAGTGAAAAAAAAAAATGAAATAGTTTAATAAGTACCTGTGTGTAAATATACTAATTAACTACTGTATAAGAACATTTTATGAAATTTTTGTTTTACAGTTATGGTTTTAAATATTATGTTTCTCTATTATAAGTATTGTTGTGGACAATACTATCCTAACTTTCAATATGGAATACATTAAATGTATTTGGTTGTTCTTGAATTACGTTAATATTATTTTTTTTTTTTCTTCCTAAATAACTTTTCCTAAATTTCAGAGCTTATTCATTACATAATTAATGAGTATTGCACATAAAACAACATCAGACGCATGAGAAAATGTAAATGTAATTGACACATAAGATCTAATTTATTTATGATTTGCACATAATGTATTTTCCTTAGTATGAGAAATCCCACTGCACGAGAAAAATTCTTAGACGAATGTACGTACTGTTGGACTAGAACATACAGCATGACACAATTTTTTATTTATTTGTGAAAATCACATCTTATTTTTCTTAAATTCAACAAGAAATAAACAATTTCATCCAGGTCCAAATTTTACAGACAAAAAAAATTACCACAAGTCAATAGATCATAACTTCACTACCCTATAGTCACAGGATGCAATTTCATCAAAGTGTCATCAAAAAAGTTTAGTGAACTGAATATCAGATCTTTACTCTCATAAGTAGAATAGTAGAAAGAATACAGGTTTCAAATACAATTTTCGAAAATTTTAGAGAGGCTTTTATCATTGAAAAAAATAACTAAATAAAGGAGAAAAAAAAGGTATAGTTCAGCACATTTTAGACAATTTTATTGCACAAATAGTCTATACATACTAACACCATAAATGCATCTAAGAGTGTTCTTGGAAAACGAAAGTAAAAATGAAGAACTTGGTATTACAAAACGAAACGAAAGCGAGACAAGGGCCATTTATATTCTCGGAATTCTTCGTAATTGTGGCCCGGGAAAATTCTTTGCCATGCGGAAGCGAGCTTGGGAAATGGTGGAATGAAACTTAAACGCCCATTCTCATTGTCTTCATCTGCATTCGCTACGACATGTACGCGAGCCGCAGAGACACAAACGGCCCGTTTGTTGAATGCAGCGTCTGTGTGTGGTAGCAACTTGAGTATTGAACGAGTCATCCCATTTGACAAGCAAAAAAGATGTGCATATACTCATACGTAGTTCATTCCGACATGAGATTTCAATGCGCGGAAAACGCGTACCAGCGTAAGATCCCATGCAGCAGCAGCAGCAGCAGTACCGCCCTGCTTTGTACTGCAATACTTACGTATTCCTGTGGCTGAGTGTCGCAATTGCTCACAAGTCGCTCGACGATGCTAATTATTACCAACGCGCAGCGAGTCATTATGTTCTCTTTTTCCCCTTCTTTCTCGAATAATGTATTTATACGTGTATACATTCGTACGTAGGTATATGTATGCAGGTACTGTCGGATGTTTTCAGAGCTTACGAAATGAATTCTCACACACTCTGTCTTATCCATTTATCTCACTCTTTATTTTGTCGATGTGTGTTGCGGATAATACGGAGGGGAAGAAGGGAAAGGCAAAGAGGGTACGCAAAACGAGGCAGCTGTATACATCTACGTTACACTCGACTTTATGTAATTCATCGTATTTACAATTTTTTTTGCTATTTAATCATGTTAACTGACCGCATCGCGTACTCTATGTGAACAGTAATGGTAATAGTACTATTCATAGTACTGGAAAAGATTAAGTATGCCAAAGTAGCATGTAAATAAGATACGAGCAAATTGATACTGTATACAGTACAATCAAAGTTCATAAAAAATAAAAATTACGTTCGAATGGTAAAAAAATATGAAAGAATAAAGTTTAAATAAAAAAAATAAATTATCATCAATTCGTGTGATAAATCCTTGAAACATGTTGTGATTCAAAGAACGTTAAAATTTGTGGGTCCTTAAGACGTAAGAAATACTTTGATAATTCGATGTCTTAATAAATAATAATAATAGCAATAACGCGTATAGATATACAATAATTCTAAGAGGAAATACTTAACATTATTAAGTATAAAGATCAATATTTCACATTTTTTTCCTCATCTCCTTCTCTTCCTCGACGTCTTCACCCAAAATTTGCACACTCCTCACTGGTCCAGATTTTCGATATCTGGTAGCTGATGGTGCAGCCGTTGTCATAATCATTGAATTTGGCATCGCAATAGGCCTCTCGGCATTGATGGCCAGTTGAAGCATCCTCAGAAGTAGTGCTTCTCTAATGTGTGGAGGTAGAATCTCTTCGCCGTCATCTGGTACCTCGTTGGTATAAAACTTCTGTCTATAGACTCGTTTTGTATATCGGGTATCAGCATACTCTTCGGGCTGATACAGTGGGTTAATAGCTCGTGAGTACATCGATCTCCTCAGCGGTATCCGTTCAGGATATGGTTGTGGTTGTGCTGCAGCACCAGCAGGTGGCACTTGCGTCATTGGAGCAATAGGAGCTACAGGCTCAGCTGGATAAGGTAGTTCGCGTGGAATTGCCATTTGATAAGAGGGTTGGTACGTTGGATATGGCTGTTGATCGTACAGTGCGTCCTCCAGATAAGTTCTTGGATAGTTGAGTGCCTGAATGCCATACTGGCTAACTAACAGTCGTCTTAGTAAAAGCTGGAAATCGCGACGGCTGAGTGGGGGAGCAATTGGGTTTGGTGGCTCAGGTGGTAATGCTAGTGGACCTCTGTAGGGGTAGTCTGCACCTACATTCTGGTATTCTCGCTCATCTTGTGGAACTGGTGGAAGCGGTATAGGACGCAGAATGGGCCTTCGTGGATCTGGAATGCCTTCCGGTGAATATGCTAACTGTCGCTGATAAGCTGCTCGTTGACGTGCTAAATAAGCTGGATTGATGGGAGCCCGAGGTGCAGCTTCCTCTTGCTCTTGAGCTCCAGGTGGAGAGTCCGTGAGATAATGGACGTTAGGATCACCTCCTCCTGAATAAAGAGGTTGCTGAGGAGGAAGAAGCCTACCGAATTCTTGTCTCAATAAAAGTCTGCTCAAAGGAACCGATCTTATTCTCGGGTCTTCTTCCAAATTGTTCTCTGGATTCGGAACAAGGATACTTCCTGGTGAGAGATCTCGGAGGTATGCATCTGCCTGCTGACGAACGTAGATCGGTTCTACGGGTTGCCGAATGTATTCTCTCTGGTCTGCTGGAGCTCTGGTAGTTGTGCGAATAAGCACCTGCTGAGCTGGGTTGCGGTCCTCTTGGGCGTCTGTTTTTGTTTCTTGCTGTTGGTACACCCGCGAACTTGGTTCGAACTTTGCAGGTCCATTGTCTGAGTTGATGTAAATATGTTTCTGACGTTCTTGCCGAATATCGTTTACCCTCTGGATCACTCTTGGTGGTGTAGTCGTAGTAAATAGTGGTCGGGACGTAGACAAAGCTCCTCCGTAGATATCAGCATGATCGTCTTCATGTTCAACAACCGGAGTAGCCTTGGTGATTTCTTCTTTTAGCTGTCTTCTTAGTGCATTTCCTGAAGTAATTTTGATTTCTTCGGCCTTGTCTTCAAATTCTTCAGTGATTGGAGGTAAATTCTGATCTAGTGGTCGCTTCGTAAATACAACCTTACGAAGAGTTGTTTCCTTATCTCTCATACTGGTTCTCGTGTTTTGGGAATCTTCCTCTGCAGTATCATCTTCCTCGAGTATTACTGGTCGCTGTTGTCCATTAATAATAAATCGATGTCTTCCCTTTGGACGAATGAAACCTAGCCTTGGGGAGTTTTCAGTAGATGGTTCTGAACTTGTTGGAGTAGTCGATATCATCGGAGGCTTTCGTGTTCTTGGGATTGGCTGGACGACGGATGTTTTCGGCGAAGTTGATTCGGTAGAAGAGGTATAGAGTATAGTAGGCTTCTTTGTCGTAGCAGTACGGTTGATACGACTCTGAACCATGGATATATGTTCCTGTAATGGTGAGACGGTGGTTGATTTAAAGCCCGTTCCGTTTGACGAAGAATAGGAGACTCTCTTTATTTCGCCAGTTGCATCGACGAAACCGAAAGTACCTTTGATGTTGCCTAATACATCGCGGCTCTCGACCTAACAAACGTTTACGTGTCGATTGTTGTATTTATCGAAAATGTAATAGAAGTCAGTACTCTTTTGAAATTAAAGAATTTAATAATAAAATTACTTCTACTTTCGAAGATCAAATTAATGAATCATTAAAAAAGTTAACGAGTACTCATACTTAATCAAAGCATCGATGAAAATAAATTTTGCAAAATCATTGAACAAAAATATCTTACTTTAAAAGACCCATCTCCAGCTTCGTATCCATAAGTGTAGGAACCATCTTCGTTAAGTTTGCGAATTTGTTTCAAAATTGCAACTTGATCGTGTTGACTTTCTGACGTATGTTGGTCTGTGACATTTGAACATCGGGCTATGGCCAGGCATAGTATTGCCATTAGCCATGGCATCATCTTAAAATTATTAATTAAATTCAATGAATATATTATATGAATACATATTAAAGCCAAATAAAGTGAATGTAAATTTCTTAATTTAACTAATGTATATTATTCCGACACTGATGGTCTAAAGATACCATTAAAGTAGAAAAATAGTTTTTAAATCTAGAATAGAAAAAAAGTGTTAAAAAATAAGATTATGTCGCAACAAAAAAAGTGAACTTCGTTATTATGCGTTTTGGAAAAATTTATTTGGTAAATCACGATATTTTTCAACCTTATGCATTTCAACTGAATCACATGCACAGCACAAACAGCAGAATTTTTGCTCAAGTTGGCGCACTGGTTGTAAATCAACGCATTTAACCTCGTGTGAAATAATAGTTAATCGTCAACACTATGATATTCAAAAAGACGATTATTTATTACTCATTAAATAAACAGAACATGTAATGCGTGGTGAGCACTATTGCAATCGAACGGGAACACTGAATCACTGAAGACGTAGAAATTAAAGCAGCAATAACGTAGACGAGGTGAGTCGCGTAGCAAGTGAACGAGAGCGTAGGCAGACGAGGAGTAAAGAGTACCTTTGGACTGGAAACCATGGTACCGCGGATGCGGTGAATGTTGACAATGATGCGAGCGGGGTGTTGCGCTTCGTTATATACGTAGTGACACAATACCTACCCGTTCGTACCTGACACCCTTCCCCCGCTACAACCAGTGCGCTACGATCCGCCAACCCACCAATGCGCTACCTTCTCCATTAGCGCAGCTCTCCTCTTCTCGATCTTCCCCACTATTTTCAACCTTGACGACCCCCGAAATGCTACTTATATCCATTCTGCCATACTTACGCTCGGTGATGAGAATCTTGTGCTCGCGATTGTTCGCAGCTTCGTTGCTATTGATGTAACTTTTATGTAACTATAACGAGCGTTTGTGATTTTTCCTGAAAAAGGGCGTTTCAAGTAAAGGAAAAATCTGTTACATATTCATACATAAAAAGTCGTTTCCCCAGGCAGAAAATACGTCAGTTTCTATAAATGAAAATTGTTCTACTCGTAGTAAAACTGTAATAATACGTTCATCTTGGGGATATTATTGAGGTCATGGTTATTAACAAGTGTAGAATGTACTTTATGCAGACGACTATAAATTTAATTCTTAGTTTTTTTTTTATCGAGACAAGTAAGTACCTGTTAATTTTATGATCTCTTCATGGGACAACATTGAAAATTTAAGTGTATACGTTTGATAGAAACAAAAAATTGTAGATTAGTAACAAATTTTTTTCACAATAAAAACAGTTTAGACAGAATAGTCACAATATTGGTGACCAACAGAATTTAGTACAATACTTTTTAAAAAAATCTACGACTCTAACGAAAATATTTTACTAACACTCTCATTTTTGTCCTACCTCCCACATAATACAAACCAAACAGACCCTCTTACCAAAGAACATGATCTTTTCGTAGTTTTACTAAGACCACTGGGAAAAACGCGCTCTCTTTCTCTCGCTCTCGCACAAAAATGCAATTCGAAAGAGTAAATTCACGCGGCCCGCGAGGATTCCCGCAGCGAGAAGTGCATTCGAAACAGAAAAATAGCATTTTAAGCAATACGTTTCTTTTTCTGTGGGATAAACAAGAGAGAGTGAGAGATAAGCGGAGTCGCTGTCGCCGAACGCACGCCTGCGAAGAAAGGAAGTAAGAGGCCTGTACAAACACTTCTCATCGAGGGCGGGACGGGAGATTGTGTGTATGCATGCAAAAACCTCGTGCGGACACGTGCACGAGGAGACGAGACCCCGTGAGGCCTGTGATCGTTCTCGTGACGAGGGGACGACGAGTGAAAGCCATAAGTAGGCATCAGCAGCATCGTAGCCGTCGTCTCGTCTTCTCTTCGTGGGTACGTGGGAGTTGGAGAGCTTCGACGAATCGCGCACCTGCTTGTGTGTGTACAGATAGCGAGTGGCAGCGAGTATTACAGACTGTAAAATGTGTAACACAATAGTCGACACTGCTGTTCCCAGAGGATGGTGGCAACATCCACTTTGGAAGGAGGGGAGAACTCGTATATACTCACGCCATTGTCACTAGCTCAGGCTCCTACCTCGAATCTATTTATTCTTCCTTTATCGCGAGTCACTCCCACAGGACAATTATTACATCACGCAATTTCCTACCGGTGGCGATATTTCGCATCTTGTCTCAACTGAACGTGACGTCTGGTTTTGATTTTGTTTTCGGATATGCGGCTGACGACAAAGAATATATCTACTCTATTGTGCAGTACAAAGGGAGAATGAATATGTTTCATGCGAGAGATGTGTGCACGATCCCCACCTGTTAATATGTATCAAACGATGGAGATGGGTTATCGAACGATAGCTTAAATAATATTTTCACACACTTTGTGAATATTGTTTCGGGAAAGGGGAGTAAAAACAGAGGCTTCCTAGGCATATGATGGATGCATAAATTTTTCTCTACGTTCGTTTGAAACAGAGAATGGAGTTTGTGTTTGGAAAACATAGTTTGCTTGGAACGAAGCTGAAAGTTACGATTTTACAATGCGCTCTTTCTGTTTCTGTGGATCAGTAATGCTGTTTTTCTATTTTTCTTTTTACTGACTGGTTACGTGTTGGTGCTGAGAGGTGCAAATACTTCAAGAGATTATAGTAACACTTATAGTCGTATTTTACATCCATGGTAATGTGAAGTGTGAAAATTTTTCAATCAGTGATGGAGGCAGTAGTTGCAACTTGAAGGCTGCAATAATTTTTTATTGAGAAAAAATTAATTTATATTGATTTTACAGCAATGACCGTTTATTTAATTAATTAGTAGATATTTATTATTTTATTAAGGTGAACTTATTTTGCTTAATGAGCTCTATATTCTGGTGTATGAATCTGGAGTTGAGAAGATTTCGTCAAAAATATGGAATCTGTCAGTGTTGGTTAATAAAATACATTAAAAAATGTTTTTTCAATTTAAATTGCAATTTAGGAGTTTGTTACAAACAATTTTATATGAATTTTAAATAAATCTATGTCCTACAAAAAATTTTGATGGTTAATATTTTTGTAACAAGTGAAAGTGAAAAAAAAATTTTTTTACGTACAAGAAAAAAGCTGTAAATTAGGGCGCAAAGCACACGTTTCTGTGTGAACATTCAAGTACCACCACTGACAACAGCAGTAACAGCACGCCTTCTTCATTATCCACGAAATGACCAACATTCTTCGCATGGGAACTAGTCGATTGTCTTCCTCTTTCGGCACTCGTGGCTTACAAAAACCATTGCATCCGACGAAAGAAGGTATACAAAGAAAAGTATACATTCATATCTCGAAGGTCTTTCAACACTGCCAAATTAAATAAAAATGAAATGCGCAATCGTATTTTACGATCGTTACCAAAACCTTTTTTGAAAATAGGTAATGTTATTCGGGGAATCAAAGTTGCAAAATATTACGTGACGTTTTTCTCAATATTTTTTCTAATGCAAAATCACAGGATATAAAATCATACACATAAAAGCTATGTAATAAACGTATAAAGTTAATAAAGGTACAAATGTTACAGAGCATGCACGGAGCGGCACGAAGTGCACCAGTAAAAAATTTATTGTTTTTGAAACACGCAAAAATAATCTTACAAATAGATTGGTAGGCCTATAACTTTATTATCAGTCTTTAGAGCCCAGTGAAAACTGTAAGTTTCGCTTTTACAGTATCTCTTGTATACTAATATTTTTAGAATCTAACTTAGACAGAATCTGAAAAAATGTAAGAGCGTTGGAGTTTACAAGCGCTCAATGCGAAACAATTGTATAGCTTTTAAAAAAAATCGTGATACTTAAAAGAAACAGATCGGCCCATTATTCTTCTTAGCTTCCTTGAAAAGAGGTTTTACGATCGTAGCGCCGAGTCTGTTTTTTAGGGTCGTCCTTTTCGTATCGTTCTGTTTCTCTACCAATAAAACTGTAATTTTTCTCTATGCCGGGCAGCCAAGAAACTATTACATAAATTACATACACTTAATTGAGATAGTCTAACATCAGCTGTAGAATATATGGGATTATGTCTTTGTGTCAGCAAAAATAATTTAGAGCAAGGCTTCATGCTATGGGCTGTGCTCTACAATCTGCCTGCACGAGATAATTTTCACACTAACACAGTAATTAAGTCTTCATTGTTGCTAAGGAAAGTAAGTTAAGCGCTTTATACATACTTTTTCGTCGTCAGCTTTCAGAAATGGTATATTTTTTTAGTTTAAAAAATATTACGGAAACCATAAAATACAATACTCAAAAATTTTTAATAAAACGTGAAATAATAACCTTACCAGAAGTCATAGGTACAAGTCATTGTCTTACATGTCTCCCTTACAATAACCGTAGTACATTGTGTGAAGTTCTTACCACTGTAAATGAGGTAAAGTTTTAAGACTGTTTAATAGACTTTTTTCAATTTATAGGGTTGAATAGTTAATAAAAAAACAAAAATAATTGATCAACTTCATTAATACGCATGTAGTTTGCAGTGCAAATGCTTAACCTGTTTTGTTTGTATCATTACATTTTAACATTTTATAAAAATCAATTTTCATGTATAAATACGCGCAAATTAGAATGAAAATAAAAATATCAGATGCAAATAAAAATAAGATATATTTTCTATTTACAGCTTTAAAAAAACAATTATTATATGCAGGAGTTGACTGCAGTCTTTACAACTGTCTCAAAACTTTATCTCTTTTATTATAGGCATGTGTAGACTCGTCAACGCCTAAGTACGACAACCATTCATACATCCATGAATGACAACTTGTATTGCTCGGAAATTACAAAAATTACGGAATCTCTATTGATTTAGTATATTTTCTTTGTAAGCTACATTTTTTTTGAAATCACATTTCTCGATTTATCCAAAAATCGTGATAATGTAATATGAAATGGGGTATATTGTTCTTTTTCACCTTATAGCGCATTAGCTACACCTTATATCTCTTTGCTAGAGAATAATTTTTGTCGCTATTCTTTATTTTTTCTTTACTCTATTTCTCTCTCTCTCTCTCTCCCTTTTTATATTTTCAAGCAGTATAATGATTTTTCTTCTTCAGGAAACTGATTTTAATCGCACAAATGCCAACTTCTTGATTGACGAATCAAGCGCTTTACAAGCTGAAAGTATCTTCTAAAGATTTACCCTCATAGGATCTGAAAAACAAGTCCTTAAACAGAATTTTCACTCATTGAAAAAAAAAAAAAAAAAAAACTCGGGTCCCTAGGCTTTTCATTTGAAATCGATATGACATTTTTATTTAAATTCTAATAATAAAACATAAATAACGAAAATCAAAGAGAGCAAATTTAAATTACAATAAAACATGATTAAGAGTGATTTTTACTACGTATAGTACTAATCTTGTACGTGAGGAACTCTGCACGCTTTTGCGACGTGCATTAGTACATAAAGCGGCGATCACTCCTTTCACTTATAAACGTTTTACGGTGCCTTAATAAACTTGACGATTTCTTTGAGAATAAACTGAATCCACTGCAATTGGTATTCATGTATAGTATAATGATA